TTTGAGTTTTTGAAGAACAAACTAAGAAAGGCTAAGAAAAAATAAGAAAACTGAGGAAAAATCCGAAGAGCCGTGAGGCAAATAGCCAAAAAAGAGAACCAATCAGACCGACAAAGAAAAGGTCTTTCCAACGCGGCAGTAAGAAAGGAACTGGCAGGATGTCCGCGCCCACCGCTCTGGGCATGTGCGGTGGGGTTCCTGTGCATGCCCGAGGTCTGGGCGCGAAAATCCGTTAAGAGTTTGCTACAATGCCGATCGATCCAGCGCGTGCGCACTAGATCCCATGGGTGTGAAGCACAGAGACCACGTCGAAGATTATAGTGAAGCTGAACAGCCATAAATGGGTCAATGAATAGATCTTTTTTTAAAAAACTGGTTTCTTGAGTCGCGACCAGAATATGAGCTGAACCAGTAGGCAGTCCTAACAGTTATTGTCTATGAGAGTAAAAACGAAATCTCAGTTTTCAGAGATAGCACATATCCAATTAGCAGATGTCAACGACAAACACCAGGGGACTCCTTCATGCCGTGCTTGTGAGCTTCCCAAAGCAACTGGCTGGTCACTACAGGAGCACAGGGCTCAACAGACCTTTGGTCCGAGCCAGCTTTAGCTTTTACAGGCCGCCTGTTTGTAACCTGTGTAACAAAGAAGGCCGCCCTGCAAAATAACCCTCTCAGATATCCCACATCCAAGATATATCCACACTTTTTAAAAAGGCACAACTTTCTTATTTCCCCCCCCTGGACTTGGGATTTGGGTTTTACCAGAGTTCAAAAATCACTTTTGGCATGGTGGCAGGGCCAGAAGGAGAAGCAGCAAGTCAAGACATGTAAGGCAGACGTCAGAGGACTCAGTGATGGGATGCAGGATATAGACTTTCAGAAGCCCTGTGCAGTCGTTATGATTTCAGTGCTCTAACCTCATGTAAAAGGAAAGCCTGCGATCTGTGATCCTTGTGATATGCACGGATATGCATGGCTGCCATTCTGTGTGACTAGGGCAGCATGCATATATTCCACCTGGGTTGCGCACGAGTGTGTACCCTCAAAAATCTGGGTTTCTAATAGTATGTAACAAAACTGGATATGCGTGTTGCCCTGTTTGCACAAAATGGCAACAGCACCTATTGAGGTGGGATTACACATAGAATCGTCAGAATCAAATCAACTGAAAATGGGGCAGAACAATTGTTGGTTTCAATTAAAAAGCCAGCCAGTCAACACCTATATTTGGAGCATTCCTCTTACAGCACCCCTTACACAGGTCAACTTGCATAACAGAAACCCAGTTCCTATAACAGGATAAGTGAGTGTACTGCATTTATATTTCCCAGAACAATCTTGAATTCTGGAAATTTCTTTTCTAAAAGATGAAAGCTGTAATTCTCAGAAACTCCAATTCTATGGCAAATATTGTATTCCTCAGCCATGGATATTAAAAAAAATTTTTTTAATTGCCATTGCATCACAGTCGATTCATGGTGACCTTGTAGGGTTTTCAAGGCAAGAGACATTCAGAGGCGGTCGGCCACTGCCTGTCTCCGTGTAGCAACCCTGGACTTCCTTGGAGGTCTCCCACCCAGGCCTGTAGCTACAGTGGGGCATCTCGGGGTTAGGCCCCCTGACTTATTGGCAAGGCCCCCTAACTTCCCATCCAACCAAGGACCCTGGAGCAGTGGCAGATATGGGGAAGGAGCCAAGTATTCCTGCGCAGCCGTCATGGCACGAAGGGCCAGCTACGGTGGCCACGTGGAGCCAGACAGCACCTATTCCCCCCAAAGACTGAATTAAAATTATACCTTTGATTTGATTAGGCAGTGCCCCCTAAGAAATTTAAATGCCCCCTGACTTACAAAAATCCTGGCTACGGGCCTGCTCCCATCCAAGAACTAACCAGGGCCTGCCCTCCAAGATCAGGCTAGCCAGGACCAATCCATGTCAGGGCCAGCCTTGGAATAGCCCCAGGGAAATTCCCAGCCATTGTTATCTGAGCCTTTCTGGCTCCTTCTCACTCACCCTTCAGGTCTGTCAAGGTGTCTCCCAGCTGTTTAAGCACCAAGGACTTTTCCTCCAGCTCTTGCGGAGAGATAAGGCGGTGGCTGTGGCTGAAATCCTTCTGGATCTTCTCCACAGCTTTCTCCAGGTCGCTGCAGGGACACGATTGCATAAGAGATCAGAGAGAGGGGGAAGAAGGTGAGGCGCGGGGAGGGGGGTTGTTCCTTTGAAGAATATAGGAGGGGAAGGGCAACACAGCAGCTATGGAGCTCATCATCTTGTGTCCACACAACTGCATTCCCCCCCCCACTTCGTCTCACGCGGGCCTTCACTTCCTGCTGTATCTCCTCTCTTCACCCAGTCCAGACTGCTTCTGATAAACTAATCACCTTGACCACCACTTTCAGCCTTGTAAGCTTCCACTGGCCAGCAAGGATAGGAATGGCATGACCACAATCGAATGCAAATTTAGGCACAGAGGCCCATCGGCTTAACCACTCTCAGGAAGGACAGTGGCTGTAAACGGTGTTTGTGCAAATGGGGAATCAGTATTGAACTGAGCATCTCAAAAAGAAACAGTATGAGATATTTCTGGTCCCAAATGAATTGTCTACCCATCTGTCCATCCGGGGGGGGGGGGCTCTGCAGCTTACCTGGCTGCTTCTTGATCTGACTGAGGGCTGCTGGGAGCAGGGGGGTGGGGCTTGTTGCATGTGCCCACCCCCTGGGCTCTTTACTGCCGGAGCTCTGCTCCTATGCGCTCCTGCAGGAAATTACCCCTACTTTTAATACTGTGGTGTACTGTTCACTTTGATTGGAAGCTACACTGTGGATCTTCACAGGATAGAAGAGCATGACACCAGTGTTTCAAACACACACTCTACGCTGGTTCTTTGGTTGTATAAGGAGGACAAACCAATTCTTCTACAGCATAACAAAAACTCCGATTGAGTTCTTCAGGTGCAGAGAGGGCATTTGGGAGGCTACCAAAAATAGACCCGGTGACAAAAAATAAAATAAAAAATGGTTGACTTCAGCTGCTTTGAAACCAACCGGATAAATGTTAATTTGACTCATGACCGGGAGGCAACATTTTTAGATACAATAAAATTATTGTGCTAGGGAACATTTAAGTCATTGAATGAATGCGAAGAGAGACAGCTCTTGACTTTAATCCTAAACCGTGCCCAGAATCTGCTGCGTGTGGGAAATTGCCCAGAGGGTCTACCATAGTTATATTTAATTTTTAAAAAAAATAATAATAAGGATTTCTTTTACAAATTTAGGGGATTAGTTAAAAGGAAGCTGAAAAGTACTGCTAAGAGGATCGCAAATCCCATCAGGAAGCCTGATAGTTATTTAAAAGCTCTACAATGTAGGCTCTAAAAACAAGTGTTCTACAGATTAGGGGGTAAAAAAAGGACTTTCGAAAGGTTGCCAGCATGGTTAAGCAACAATGAAAGGTGGGAAGTCTTCTTGGGCAGTACAATCCTAAGGATGCCTACTCATATTTCAGTGGTTTAGGACTGCAGCCTTAAATGCCAAAGGAAGGGATCTGAAAAACACCAGTAAATCCAAGGACAAAATATTAGAATTAATTAGCAAAGGGCCCAAATATGGCAGACATATATCGTAAATTCCCTACTGGGAACTTAATTCCTAGGTGCGCATGGACCCAATTCAGATCAGGGTCAGGGCACATGGAAAGAAAGTTCTTCTGACTTGAAACAGATCTGGGGATCCACTCTTTGCCCCCTGGGGAAACATAACATGTACTGTTAGCCAATGTTCCCTCTAAGCTGAGTTAGTGTGAGTTAGCACACAGTTTTTTAGCCTCTGGCTCACAGATTTTTGTCTTAGCTCAGGAAGGGTGGCTCCAGAGCAAACTAATTTATGTAGTAGCCAAATTGCTTGCTCACAACTTTGATGCCAGAAGTTCACAAAGTAGAATTTTTGCTCGCAAGACTCCACAGCTCAGCGGGAGCACTGCTGTTAGCTACACATAAGTTTCCCCATTGAGGCAGACAACAGGCTGGATCCAACCGGCTTTTGTGCTGGCGATAAAGGAAGTTAGAGTCCTTTTTGCTCACCCTAAAAAGTTCAGCTGGGGACACGGGATTTGCATGGAAAAAGCACACGCGGGACAAAAGCTGTGTCCTTAGATAGGGATAATGGATAACTGTATAGCTGCTCAGAGACCCCTTCGGGGATTAGAGCGGGATAGTAAGACGAAAGTAATAAATAAATAATAATAAAAGCTGTAGTAAGGAGGGGGACTGGACAACATTAAACAAAAAAGCTACCTGGAGCCAACCCAACAGCTCCACAGGGGCAGGGCCATTTCAACTCGGGGAAATGGTGTGCGGATGGAGGAGTCTTAAGGCTCTTCTCCCTGCACACCACAGTCCCAATCCGAAACAGTCCCAACTCACACCTAAGAATTAAGTTCCTAGCAGGGAACTCCAAGTACAGTTCTGACAGAAACATGTCCGGTGGCCCCACGGGCTTCATAAAGTGTGAACTGGCTCTTACTCAGTGGACATAGGGGGCAGGCTGTAGCCGCACAAGACACTTTCTCCCAACTCAGGCTATCCCAAAAGATGGCCCCTTACCTTGATACAAGTGACCTGGCCACCTGGATCCAGTGACATCAAGATTGGACTGCTGCATTGCACAGTACATTGGTCTCCCTCAAAGTCAACTTGAAAACTCCAGTTGGTGCAGAATGCTGCAACCCAGCTATTATTGGGAGCTACATTCTGTGTCAGTGGGCCAAACCCAGGTGCCATCAGGAGGTCCACCCGTGGGGCCAGAACTCCAGACGTCCTCCCACTGTGGCCCCCCAAGTCCCAAGAATACAGAGCATCACTGCCCCAGACAGGGTGTTCTATCTATACCTTGCAGCTAATAGCCACTGATGGACCTCAGTGACCTCAGCTCCCTCTCCCTGGCAGGCTGCCCCGGCCTGGTATAGTGCAGATGGGAGTGAGCCAGGAAGAAGTGGGAGCAGCCTGCTCTTCTCCTCCCCCGTCTTTTTCTTTCCCTTCCTCCTCTGTCGGGGAAGGCCCTGGTTCTCCCCTCCACTGTCAGGCCAGAGCCATTCCAGGCAGGCTCACCAACCTCCAGGTGGTAGCTGGAGATGTCCTGGGATTACAAACTAATCTCTAGGAGGCAGAGATCAGCTCCCCTGGAGAAAATGGCTGCTTTGGAATGTGGACTCTGTGGCCTTATACTCTGTTGGTCCCTCCCCTCCCCCAAACCCCCCAATCTCCAGCCTGGAGATGGTGACCCTATTTTCAGGGCCATTTTTGCCTTCCAGGCCACCTTTGTTAGAATTTTTTTTTAAATTTTCCAGCTAACCGAGATTTAGCTATCGATTTTCTTCAACCTTAACAGTCCTTCCACTTGTTCTGTGTTATCCCCAGCTTAATTTTCTCTAAGCTAAACACGTCAAACTCTTCCAACTCCCATTGGTTTCAAAGGGGGCAAAGGCAGCTTTGGAGATTCGGCATGACCACTGCAAAACCCTCACTTTAACTGCTGGGTGATGAGCTCTTCCTCGTTGAGGTAGCGTAGGCGCTCCTCCTCCACCAGGGTGCGCTGGCGCTGCAAGGGGTCTTCCTGCTTGCGCATGGTGTCCATCACCCGGACACTGATCTCTGTCTCTGTCCTCCGCAGCATCGTCTTCACTGTCTCTTGGTTTTGCAGCTGAAAGGACAAAGCAGAAGTGGGGAGAGGAAGGAGTCAGTGCAGAGCAGAAAGAGAAGCGGCTGCAGCTCCGGGGCACCAAACCCACAAGGAACTAGGTACGGGAGAAAGAAAGAAAGAAAGAAAGAAAGAAAGAAAGAAAGAAAGAAAGAAAGAAAGAAAGAAAGAAAGAAAGAAAGAAAGAAAGAAAGAAAGAAAGAAAGAGAGAGAGGCAGGGAGGGAGGGAGGCAGGGAGAAAGAGAGAGGGGGGAAGGAAGAGAGGGGGGAAGGAAGGAAGGAAGGAAGGAAGGAAGGAAGGAAGGAAGGAAGAAAGGAAGGAAGGAAGGAA